GTCCTGTTCTGAATAAATAGTAGATACACACTGTGACTAGACTGACTCAGGAGAGATCCAAGAGAAAGCAGAACACTGAAGGTTATTTGCTAGCATGGTCCCAGATCTGTCTGTGCTCTCTTGCCAAATATTATGGTCATACATTGAAAAATAAAAAATAAATAATGTATGCACTCACTAACTGTAAGTCGCTCTGGATAAGAGCGTCTGCTAAATGACTAAAATGTAAAAAAAATTGGCAAGCCAGCACATGATCTTGGACCGGTCTACTTGTGTGCTTCTGTTATTGTCTGTCAGATTTGGCCCCCTCACAGGGCAGCAACTAGATGAACCCCTCCTTACTACTATCAGACTTGGTACAGCAGGACTGGGCTGGGCTCCCCGGCAGGGCTGGGGTGGGATGGGTTGGTTGTAAAGAGCGACTCCATGTCTGAGAGAAAATGATCCCTTGACAGCTGGTCAGTGAAATCCCAGGAATAGAATCCTGATTCAGATGCTGATTCATTCCTGGCTTTGATCTAAACCATCTATAGTGAGTCATCAGATGAGTGAGGGGCTACGTCATAATCCCTCAACGTTCCATAGTGGGGCGAAATTGGCAGCCATGTTGGTCAGGGTTGAAATCCAAAACCAGCCTAATTGGAATGAATGGCAGTAGAGGCAGAGGTGATGCATTTCCTGCTTTTACTTATACAGGAAAATAAAAGCAAGGCATGTGATGTATCAGAAATGGTGTAATGGAATTATAGTCAACCTAAAATATTGTGATATAATTATGAATACCGTTTATACAGGTTTTATACCAATTTTCTGTATAAATTGCCTCTAAAATATATGTTAACAAACCATAAATGTCTCCGATTTAATTTTCTTGGAAAAATGTGAGCGCTGTTATATGATACAATATCAGTACTTGTTGCATTTACAACTTGTCTAAGTCCTATCATCAACTGATTGATTCAGTGTATGGCTGTGGATTAACTGCACTATTTGAATGGCATCTTGGCATATTGGCAATTAATAAAAATAATGTATGGAATCATTCCTTTAAAAGTGGCTGGCTAACTAGATAACACACATACAGTACAGATAAATTATTAACATTCATTGTTTTACACAATATTTTACAACAGCACTGGCAAACCATGGTTGACCAACTCCCTGACCAAGATGGCTGACCTTTGGACCATTCTAGTATTCTAATACCTACTTCTATGCTTATATCCAGGCTCTGTCGTAGCCAGCCGCGACCGGGAGACCCATGGGGCGGCGCACAATTGTCCCAGCGTCGTCCAGGGTAGGGGAGGGAATGGCCGGCAGGGATGTAGCTCAGTTGGTAGAGCATGGCGTTTGCAACGCCAGGGTTGTGGGTTCGATTCCCACGGGGGGGCCAGTTTGAAAAATAAAAAAATAAATGTATGCACTCACTAACTGTAAGCCGCTCTGGATAAGAGCGTCTGCTAAATGACTTAAATGTAAATGTGATAACATCTTCATGCAATAGATTATAGATAGAATATCTAAAATACCGCTAGAATATAGAAATAGAATATTTGCTTACTAACACTAAAATGGCTGGTAGTAGTGGCAAGGCTTAGTCTTCTCCAACCTCTATCTCCCCATTATGTTTCCCATGCTGAGTCACCAGCAGTAGCAGAATGCAGACTCCACCAACACAATGACATGCCTGGGGCCTAATAAATCCGGCGTTGCCACGACGACTCCTACCCAGCAAGCAGCGTCGGAGGGTGGAGAGTGAAACCCATTCGTTCAACAACAGAGGGCTGGGGGAGATAGATGGGGGGGGGGGCTGTAAAAGCCCACTCTAGATCACACCACCACTCCATGATAATAATATTAATATGATATTAATGGCTACCTCTCCTCTCCCCTCTCCCTGGACATGTGTAGCTTAAATGGGCTCCCGAGTGGCGCAGCGGTCTAAGTCTCAGTGCTTGAGGCGTCACTACAGACCCCCTGGTTCGATTCCAGGCTGTATCACAACCGGCCGTGATTGGGAGTCCCATAGGGCGGCGCACAATTGGCCCAGAGTCGTCCGGGTTTGGCCGGTGTAGGCCGTCATTGTAAATAAGAATTTGTTCTTAACTGACTTGCCTAGTTAAATAAAGGTAAAAAATAAATTAAAAATGGCTGCCGGCGATTGAATGGAATAATAGCTTCTAGGTGACTTGGCTCTCTCTGAGGTTTAAGGTCTAGATCTAACAGCCACCTAATGGGTTAGCTATTATCATCCATGATAACTGATCTACATTTAGTGTCCACTCAAAATGGATGATTATGGCGCAATGGGAGTGTAGACTCTGCAGTTGTCCTACAGCTCTGCTGCCGAGGCTTAGCTGAACAGTGTAGTGTTGCTTGGCTCAGCCATTCTCTATCGCTCGCTGTCTGTCTGTTTCTCTCTCTCTCTCTCTGTCTGTTCTCTTTCTCTCTCTCTCTCTGTCCGTCTCTCTCTCTCTCTCTCTCTCTCTCTCTCTCTCTCTCTCTCTCTCTCTCTCTCTCTCTCTCTCTCTCTCTCTCTCTCTCTCTCTCTCTTCTCTCTTCTCTCTCTCTCTCTCTCTCTCTCTCTCTCTCTCTCTCTCTCTCTCTCTCTCTCTCTCTCTCTCTCTCTCGCTCTCTCTCTCTCTGTCCGTCTCTCTGTCTGTTCTCTCTCTCTCTCTCTCTCTCTCTCTCTCTCTCTCTCTCTCTGTCTCTTTGTCTGTCTGTCTGTCTGTCTCTGTCTGTCTGTCTGTCTGTCTGTCTGTCTGTCTGTGTCTTTCTGTCTGTGTCTTTCTGTCTGTCTGTCTGTCTGTCTGTATGTCTGTCTGTCTGTCTGTCTGTCTGTCTCTCTCTCTGTCTGTCTGTCTGTCTTTGTCTGTCTGTCTGTCTGTCTGTCTGTTCTGTCTGTCTGTCTGTCTGTCTGTCTGTCTCTGTCGTTCTGTCTGTCTGTCTGTCTGTCTGTCTGTTTGTCTGTCTCTCTCTGTATATATCTCTCTCTGTATCTCTCTCTCTCTGTATATCTCTCTCTCTCTGTATATATCTCTCTCTCTGTCTCTCTCTCTGTATATCTCTCTCTCTGTGTCTCTCTGTATATCTCTCTCTCTGTGTCTCTCTGTATATCTCTCTCTGTATATATCTCTCTCTCTGTATCTCTCTCTCTGTATATATCTCTCTCTCTGTATCTCTCTCTCTCTGTCTGTCTCTCTCTCTGTATATCTCTCTCTCTGTGTCTCTCTGTATATCTCTCTCTCTGTATATATATATATATATATATATATCTTTCTCTCTCTCTCTCTCTCTCTCTCTCTGTGTTTTCTCTCCCCTCCACACCATATTGAACAAGGAGAATCAGGAAGAGCAGCTTTAATGACCCTTACTCCCTGTGTAAATAGGCTCATTAGGAACTAATGACTATGTTATGAACAATGTAATAGCATGGGATCCAATCCCAGGTAAACTACCCAACCACATCTCTTCATAACTGACTTTATTTTTATGGGATCAAGCAGCGAAGCTGGTGAAACCCTATTGCATTTCTTGTATTTCTTGTATTTCTTGGCGTTCATTATTATTAAGCAATTCCTCCCATGCGATTCCATGCCAATTGGCCCGATGGTGGCGCTATAACAAGCGATTGAAATGCAAACTTTGAAAGCTCACGCCCCTCACTCCGTGTGATGTAGAGTCGTGAAACTTGGTTCATAGGTCCGTCTCTTCACAAGGAACAAATTTGCCTCAAGAATCCATAAGGTCCGTCATAATGGATTTTCCGCCATTTCGAATTTTGTGAAAAACTACTTAAAACGCACCGAATGACCGGTCTGCACGGAACTTGATATATGGCCTTTATGGAGGTCTCTCAACTCTATATTATCCACACTAGTATGTCAAACAACATGGCCGCTACTGACCAATAAGCATTCATGTGTGCGTGGTCTGACATATAAATGCAGTTAAGTCAGACAACTGATAATCGTATTGTACTTGGTACACATGTTCCAAACACTGTCAAGACTCAACATACGCTTGCATATTCATCTCGACCACATGGTGGCGCCATTAACGGACACATGTTTAAATCTCTTGATCTGTTTGACTCAGAGTAATGACATTTGGCACAGGGATATGAGTCTAGCTAAACTGTTCAGTGTGGTTCAGTTTGGCCGAATGGTGGCGCTGTTGGGCTCATAGTGGCCATATTGTTTGAGCTGGAGTCCTGGAAAATATAGCACTGATTTGGCACCACAATCGGTCCAGCAGTTCTGGAGAAGAAGACGTTTAAAGTAGTCAACATCATTGAAATGGTCCAAAATACATCAAAAGCATATTGCAAAGTACTGGAACTTGAGGAAAGCCTTTCCATTGGATACTGTGTTAGTACTGTAGGATCACATTTTGGGCACAAGATACAAAACATCTTATCATATAGTACAGTTGAAGTTGGAAGTTTACATACACTTAGGTTGTAGTCATTAAAACTTGTTTTTCAACCACTCCACAAATGTCTTGTTAACAACCTATAGTTTTGGCAAGTTGGTTAGGACATCTACTTTGTGCATGACACAAGTCATTTTTCCAACAATAGTTTCCAGACAGATTGTTTCACATATAATTCACTGTATCACAATTCCAGTGGTCCTCTGTAGCTCAATTGGTAGAGCATGGCGCTTGTAATGCCAGGGTAGTGGGTTCGATCCCCGGGACCGACCATACGTAAAAATGTATGCACGCATGACTGTAAGTCGCTTTGGATAAAAGCGTCTGCTAAATGGCATATTATATTGCATGATCTGTTCAATGTTGAGTTCTGATATTTGGCAAGCGTGGTAAGGAGTACAGAGGTAGCTCATCCTAGGGGGATGTGTCCAATTTGTCCTGACGGTTGTGCAGTGGTCCCACAGCTTAAACCCTGGCATTGCTGCTTGCAACTATATTCTCTGGTTGTTTTCCCCCATTCAGCCATTGCCATGACGACAGACGAGGCGACAGAGAGCCAGCATCAGAATAAGCCCAGCCAGCAGGAGGCGGAGAAGCATCAGGCCACGCCTCCTGACCACGGGCCCTCAGAGTCCCAGGCCGCCACCACCCCCGCCACCTCGCCCCAGAGCCCTGGCTCGCCCTCGCCCTCTCTGCCCCAGGAGGAGGTGCAGCTGAGGCCCCGCCAGCGCACCTCGGCCGGCCGCGGCCTCTCACGTCTCTTCTCCTCCTTCCTGAAGAGGAGGTCTCAGTGCGAGGGGGACGGGGGAGAGAAGGGGGAGAAAGGAGGGGACGGGGAAGAGGCCAAGGCGCCCATCGCTGATTGTGAGCCAGAGCTCAGGATCGAGGGGGATCAGAACCTCGACCTGCACTCGCTCAGCAGCAACGAGGATCAGGTGAGAGCCTATTCTACCCACCACACTGTAGTACACACAGTGAGGGAAAAAAGTATTTGATCCCCTGCTGATTTTGTACGTTTGCCCACTGACAAAGACACGATCAGTCTATAATTTTAATGTTAGGTTTATTTGAACAGTGAGAGACAGAATAACAACAAAAAAATCCAGAAAAACGCATGTCAAAAATGTTATGAATTGATTTGCATTTTAATGAGGGAAATAAGTATTTGACCCCTCTGCAAAACATGACTTAGTACTTGGTGGCAAAACCCTTGTTGGCAATCACAGAGGTCAGACGTTTCTTGTAGTTGGCTACCAGGTTTGCACACATCTCAGGAGGGATTTTGTCCCACTCCTCTTTGCAGATCTTCTCCAAGCCATTAAGGTTTCGAGGCTGACATTTGGCAACTCGAACCTTCAGCTCCCTCCACAGATTTTCTATGGGATTAAGGTCTGGAGACTGGCTAGGCCACTCCAGGACCTTGATGTGCTTCTTCTTGAGCCACTCCTTTGTTGCCTTGGCCGTGTGTTTTGGGTCATTGTCATTCTGGAATACCCATCCACGTCCCATTTTCAATGCCCTGGCTGAGGGAAGGAGGTTCTCACCCAAGATTTGACAGTACATGGCCCGTCCATTGTCCCTTTGATGCGGTGAAGTTGTCCTGTCCCCTTAGCAGAAAAACACCCCCAAAGCATAATGTTTCCACCTCCATGTTTGACGGTGGGGATGGTGTTCTTGGGGTCATAGGCAGCATTCCTCCTCCTCCAAACACGGCGAGTTGAGTTGATGCCAAAGAGCTCCATTTTGGTCTCATCTGACCACAACACTTTCACCCAGTTCTCCTCTGAATCATTCAGATGTTCATTGGCAAACATCAGACGGGCCTGTATATGTGCTTTCTTGAGCAGGGGGACCTTGCGTGCGCTGCAGGATTTCAGTCCATCACGGCGTGGTGTGTTACCAATTGTTTTCTTGGTGACTATGGTCCCAGCTGCCTTGAGATCATTGACAAGATCCTCCCGTGTAGTTCTGGGCTGATTCCTCACCGTTCTCATGATCATTGCAACTCCACGAGGTGAGATCTTGCTTGGAGCCCTTGGCCGAGGGAGATTGACAGTTCTTTTGTGTTTCTTCCATTTGCGAATAATCGCACCAACTGTTGTCACCTTCTCACCAAGCTGCTTGGCGATGGTCATGTAGCCCATTCCAGCCTTGTGTAGGTCTACAATCTTGTCCCTGACATCCTTGGAGAGCTCTTTGGTCTTGGCCATGGTGGAGAGTTTGGAATCTGATTGATTGATTGCTTCTGTGGACAGGTGTCTTTTATACAGGTAACAAACTGAGATTAGGAGCACTCCCTTTAAGAGTGTGCTCCTAATCTCAGCTCGTTACCTGTATAAAAGACACCTGGGAGCCAGAAATCTTTGTGATTGAGAGGGGGTCAAATACTTATTTCCCTCATTAAAATGCAAATCAATTTATAACATTTTTGACATGCGTTTTTCTGGATTTTTGTTGTTGTTATTCTGTCTCTCACTGTTCAAATAAACCTACCATTAAAATGATAGACTGATAATTTCTTTGTCAGTGGGCAAACGTACAAAATCAGCAGGGGATCAAATATTTTTTTCCCTCACTGTAGCTGTGTGTGTGTCCTGCTATAGGGAAGAAACGAGTCAGAGTGTCAAAGTGGTGATTTTAGTCCTTGAGTCCTGAAGACAATCAACGTCTGTGAAGATTAGTAGTGTAAAGTGTTTTGGGGAAATGTTGTGTTTTTTTGTCGGATTACTGTACTCCTCAAACTGCAATTTGAAGTGAGTACGAAGTGCATGAATGAGTTTAGGACTGATGTACTGGGACTTGAGGAAAGCCTTTCCATTGGATACTGTGTTAGTACTGTAGGATCACATTTTGGGCACAAGATACCAAAAAAAAATGTTTATGGTGCTCTTCAGAAGTTTACATACTCTTAGGTTGGAGTCATTAAAACTCGTTTTTCAACCACTCCACAAATGTCTTGTTAACAAACTATAGTTTTGGCAAGTTGGTTAGGACATCTACTTTGTGCATGACACAAGTCATTTTTCCAACAATTGTTTCCAGACAGATTATTTCACTTATAATTCACTGTATCACAATTCCAGTGGGTCTGAAGTTTACATACGCTAAGTTGACTGTGCCTTTAAACAGCTTGGAAAATTCCAGAAAATGATGTCATGGCTTTAGAAGCTTCTGATAGGCTAATTGACATCATTTGAGTCAATTGGAGGTGTACCTGTGGATGTATTTCAAGGCCTACCTTCAAACTCAGTGCCTCTTTGATTGACATCATGGGAAAATCAAAAGATATCAGCCAAGACCTCAGAAAAATAATTGTAGACCTCCACAAGTCTGGTTCATCCTTGGGAGCAATTTCCAAACGCCTGAAGGTACCACGTTCATCTGTAGAAACAATAGTACGCAAGTATAAACACCATGGAACCACGCAGCCGTCATACCGCTCAGGAAGGAGACGCGTTCTGTCTCCTAGAGATGAACGTACTTTTGTGCGAAAAGTGCAAATCAATCCCAGAACAACAGCAAAGGACCTTGTGAAGATGCTGGAGGAAACAGGTACAAAAGTATCTATATCCACAGTAAAACGAGTCCTATATCGACATAACCTGAAAGGCCGCTCAGCAAGGAAGAAGCCACTGCTCTAAAACCGCCATAAAAAAGCCAGACTACAGTTTGCAACTGCACATGGGGACAAAGATCGTACTTTTTGGAGAAATGTCGTCTGGTCTGATGAAACAAAAATAGAACTGTTTGGCCATAATGACCATCGTTATGTTTGGAGGAAAAAGGGGGTACCTTGCAAGCCGAAGAACACCATCCCAACCGTGAAGCACGGGGGTGGCAGCATCAAGATGTGGGGGTGCTTTGCTGCAGGATGGGACTGGTGCACTTCACAAAATAGATGGCATCATGAGGAAGGAAAATTATGTGGATATATTGAACAACATCTCAAGTCAGGAAGTTAAAGCTTGGTCGCAAATTGTCACGTTCGTTTAAGGACGGGTCAGACCAAGGCGCAGCGTGATATGCATAAATGTTTATATACAAACCAATGAATGCCAATAGGCTGCCTAAGTATGCTCCCCAATCAGAGACAACGAGAGACAGCTGCCTCTGATTGGGAAACACACCCGGCCAAACATAGAACTACAACCTAGATCACCAACATAGAAAATACAACATAGAACATTCACACTGACTCAACATATAAGAGTCCCCTGAGTCAGGGCGTGACACAAATGGGTCTTCCAAATGGACAATGACACCAAGCATACTTCCAAAGTTGTGGCAAAATGGCATAAGGACAACAAAGTCAAGGTATTGGAGTGACCTCAATCCTACAGAACATTTGTGGGCAGAACTGAAAAAGCGTATGCGAGCAAGGAGGCCTACAAACCTGACTCAGTTACACCAGCTCTGTCAGGGGGAATGGGCCAAAATTCACCCAACTTATTGTGGGAAGCTTGTGGAAGTCTACCCGAAACATTTGACCCAAGTTAAACAATTTAAAGGCAATGCTACCAAATACTAATTGAGTGTATGTAAACTTCTGACCCACTGGGAATGTGATGAAATAAATAAAAGCTGAAATAAATAATTCTCTCTTCTATTATTCTGACATTTCACATTCTTAAAGTAAAGTGGTGATCCTAACTGACCTAAGACAGGGAATTTTTACTCTGATAAAATGTCAGGAATTGTAAAAACTGAGTTTAAATGTATTTGGCTAAGATGTATGTAAACTTCCGACTTCAACTGTATGTTCGACCGCATTGTATTACTGTATAGAAGAGACACCATGCAGTAGAGGGTTACAGACTACAGTAGACTACAACAGTAATACATAACCGCCTCACTATTTGGGTGCTAAGTGGCTGAAGCAATTAGATCTATAGCTAGAATAGAATCGGAGAATGAGAGCGATTAAGATATAATATAATATCTATAGATAGATTCATTATATATAAGTAGGTGTTATGGTATATATCTAGATAAGAGTCAGATCGATAGCTAGATGTTGGTGGTATGTATATATCTATCTTTATTAACGATATATATTATCTATATATATATCTATCTAGTCTCGTCTCTCGTCACCTCTCATCTCTCTCTCTCTCTATCTCTCTGTCTCTTCTCTCTTGTATCTCTCTCTCTCTGTGTCTCTCTCTCTCTCTCTCTGTGTCTCTCGCTCTCTCTCTCTCTCTCTCTCTCTCTCTCTCTCTCTCTCTCTCTCTCTCTCTCAAACGTTTATTACAAAAACAGGGGGCAGGCATACGACAGGTCAGGGGCAGGCAGAGGTCAGTAATCCAGATCAGAGTCCAAAAGGTACAGAACAGCAGGCAGTCTCAGGGTCAGGGCAGGCAGAGGTCAATAATCCAGGGTGGTGTGACAACGTACAGAACGGCAGGCAGGCTCAGGGTCAGGACAGGCAGAATGATCAAAACCGGGAAAACTAGAAAACAGGAACTTGAGAAAGACAGGAGCAAGGGGAAAAACGCTGGTAGGCTGTGAGACATGGGTTTGATCTTAGACACATGAAAAGTGGGATGTATACGGAGGGTACGGGGCAACAGAAGACGAACAGCAAAGGACTGATAAACCGGGGGGAAAGTTTGCGGGACTCCACCCGGAGGGGCAGATCTCGGGTGGACAGCCATACCTTCTGCCTGAGACGATACCGGGGTCCGGTGGAGGTCCACTTGTCGTCGATACCTGGAGGTGGTCTTGAGAAGAGCCGACCGGCCTCTCCTCCAGGTACGACGACAGCGGTGGACAAACATCTGGGCCGAGGGTATGCCGACCTCTTACTCTTGCTCCGGGAAGAGCGGTGGCTGATAACCCAGGGAACACTCGAGGGCGAAAGATCCGTGGCAGAGCAGGGAAGGGTGTTGCAGGCGTATTCGACCCACACTAGTTGCTGGCACCAGATGGTGGGGTTGACGGAGAACAGGCAACGCAGAGTCGTCTCTAGGTCTTGGTTGGCTCGCTCCGACTGGCCGTTGGACTGAGGGTGGAAACCGGAGGACAGGCTGGCCGACGACCCAATGAGTGTGCAAAACGCCTTCCAGAACCGGGACGAGAACTGAGGCTCAGGTCGGAGACCATGTCCACTGGGAGTCCATGGATCCGGAAGACGTGCTGCACCATGAGCTGGGCCATCTCTTTGGCGGAGGGTAGCTTGGGGAGAGGAATGAAGTGGGCGGCTTTGGAAAACCGGTCCACAACTGTCAGGATGGCGGTGTTGCCATCAGACGAGGGAAGACTTGTGATAAAGTCCAGGGATATGTGAGACCAGGGACGGTGAGGAACAGGCAATGGTTGGAGGAGACCAGCCGGAGCTTGCCGAGTAGTTTTGTTCTGCGCACAGATCGTGCAGGTGGTGACGAAAAACGGAGACGTCAGGAACCATGGTAGGCCACCAAAAGCATTGTCGCACAAAGGCCAGGGTCCGACGGGAGCCCGGGTGGCAGGCAAGCCTGGAGGAGTGGGCCCACTCCAGGACGATGAGTGGTAGTGGGTAGCGGTTCTTCACCGTGATGTCGTTGAGGCCCCGGTAGTCGATGCATGGGCGCAGGGTTTTGTCCTTCTTCTCCACAAAGAAGAACCCTGCGCCGGCAGGGGAGGCAGAAGGACGGATGAACCCAGCAGCTAGGGAGTCCTCAATGTAGGTCTCCATAGCCTTGGTCTCCGGACCGACAGCGAGTACAGTCTTCTCCGGGGCGTAGTGGTGCCTGGGAGAAGGTCGATTCCGCAGTCGTAGGGTCAGTGCAGCGGAAGCGAAGTGGCCCGGGCCTTACTGAACACCTCCCGGAGGTCCTGGTACTCCGCGGGAATGGCGGAGTGGTCAGAGGCAACGGCAACTTCCGAGCCCCCAGGAAGACGTCCTGGGGCAGGCTGCGTTCACTTCAGGCAATGAACGTGGCAGAACGGGCTCCAGCCCATGATGGCACCAGTAGACCAGTCAATAAAGGGGTTGTGTCGCTGGATGCAAGAGAAACACAATACCACAGGAACCTGAGGAGACTTAATTAGCAGGAATTGGATTGTCTCGCTGTGGTTCCCTGATACTCGTAGGTTGATGTGGGTGGTATTGTGGGTGACCCAGCCTATAGAGCGCCCGTCCAGCGCTCTAACGTCCATGGGAATGGAGAGGGGCTGAGTGGGGATGTCCAGCTCGGACCCCAGGGTAGCGTCCATAAAGCTCTCATCGGCCCCAGAGTCGATGAGTACCCGGAGAGATTTTGACTGGTTCCCCCACAGCAAGATGGCATGAAAAGGGGTGCGAGTAAGGGGAGAGGAAAAGTTATCCGTATGGCCCACCAGAGTACTCGCTCCTACCGGTGAGCCTGGTCTTTTAGTGGACAGGTGGACACAAAATGACCAGTAGTCCTGCAATACAGGCAACTCTTCATGTGAAGCCTGTATTGCCATTCTGCTGGAGACAGCCTAGCTCTGCCTAGTTGCATCGGCTCGGGATTGGCAGACTTCGGAGACTCTCTGGGGAACTCGGGTAGCCTCAGGTTCTCTCGGCAACGGAGCCGTCGGGGACTTCCGGTATGCCTTGGTGGCGAGGTGAAATCCTTGGGCAGGCGAGTGGAATCGGACTTCCTCTTCTTCCTTCATCCCGTAGTTGCCTATCGATCCGAATGGTCAAGGCGATGAGCGAGTCGAGATCCGTCGGTAGTTCCCGGGCTGTAAGCTCGTCCTTTACTTCCTCCGATACTCCGTGCAGGAACGTGTCGAACAGTGCTTCCGGGTTCCAGGCACACTCAGCTGCCAACATGCGGAAATCCACTGCATAGTCTGCCACACTGTGGGATTCTTGCCGAAGCTGGAGTAACTTCCGGGCAGCCTCTCTCACGGACAATGGAGCATCGAAAACCTTCTTTACTTCCTGCATGAACTCCTCCAGACTGAAGCATACGGCCGACTGTTGTTCCCATACGGCCGTAGCCCAGGCGAGAGCCCTCCCGGACAACAGCGTGATGAGGTACGCTATCTTAGAGCGGTCCGAGGGGAAGGAGGAGGGCTGCAGCTCGATGAGCGAACACTGAGCGAGAAATGCCCGACAGATTCCCGACTCTCCAGCGAAGCGTTCCGGGGGAGGTGAGCGGGGTTCTCAGGAGACCGGAGTGGCCGGGGAGGCCGCGTTGCTAACAGCCGGGTTACTGAGGGGCTGGGAGGTTACCGTCGTGGGATGCTGCCTAACAGACAACCCGCGGAATTGCTCGGTCATGGCATTCGGCCAATGTCTGGAACCCTTCCATGAGACCACAAAGCAACTCCTCGTGCCTTCCAGTGGTGGCTCCTTGGGAGGAGATTACGTTGCGGAGCTGGTCCGAGTCTACTGGGTCAATCATGGCCAGTTCGTACTATCACGTTTCAGGAGAAGACCCAGATGCAGACAGTGTCGAAGTAACAAACGTTTATTACAAAAACAGGACAGGCAAATGACAGGTCAAGGGCAGGCAGAGGTCAGTAATCCAGATCAGAGTCCAAAAGGTACAGAACGGCAGGCAGTCTCAGGGTCAGGGCAGGCAGAGGTCAATAATCCAGGGTGGTGTGACAAGGTACAGAATGGCAGGCTCAGGGTCAGGGCAGGCAGATTGGTCAAAACCAGGAAAACTAGAAAACAGGAACTTGAGAAAGACAGGAGCAAGGGGAAAGCCACTGGTAGGCTTGACGAAACAAAACGAACTGGCTACAGACAAACAGAGAACACAGGTATAAATACACTGGTGATAATGGGGAAGATGGGCGACACCTGGAGGGGGGTGGAGACAATCACAAAGACAGGTGAAACAGATCAGGGTGTGACACCATGTATGAGTTTTTGGAATAAATGTAACATTGATTGTGTATGTTAAAATATGTCTTGTGTCTTTTCCACCAGCCTGTCCAGGTAGACCAGAAGGAAGACCCTGACACTGAGAAAGACTCTGAGGACGAGGTGGGGGAGGAGGGAGAGAAAGACAAGGAGGGAGGAGAAGAGAAGGAGAAAGAGGAGGAGCCTGACAGAGAGGAAGAAGCTAAACCTGATAAACCTCCTCGTCGACCCAGGATCATGCAAATTAAAGTTACACTGCTGGACGACACTCTGTTTGAGTGTGAGCTGGATGTAAGTCCCAATATTACCAAATCATTCCTTTATTAGAGCTGGAAACCTGGGATACATACAGTGGCTTGCGAAAGTATTCACCCCCCCCCTTGGCATTTTTCCTATTTTGTTGCCTTACAACCTGGAATTAAAATTGATTTTTTGGGGGGGTTTGTATCATTTGATTTACACAACATGCCTACCACTTTGAAGATGCAAAATATTTTTTATTGTGAAACAAACAACAAATAAGAAATAAACAGAACTTGAACGTGCATAACTATTCACCCCCCCCCCCCCACCCCTAAGTCAATACTTTGTAGAGCCACCTTTTGCAGTATTTATAGCTGCAAGTCTCTTGGGGTATGTCTCTATAAGTTTGGCACATCTAGCCACTGGGATTTTTGCCCATTCTTCAAGGCAAAACTGCTCCAGCTCCTTCAAGTTGGATGGGTTCCACTGGTGTACAGCAATCTTTAAGTCATACAACATATTCTCAATTGGATTGAGGTCTGGGCTTTGACTAGGCCATTCCAAGACATTTAAATGTTTCCCCTTAAACCACTCGAGGGTTGCTTTAGCAGTCATTGTCTTGCTGGAATTTGAACCTCCGTCCCAGTCTCAAATCTCTGGAAGAGTGAAACAGGTTTCCCTCAAGAATTTCCCAGTATTTAGCGCCATCTATCATTCATTCAATTCTGACCAGTTTCCCAGTCCCTGCCGATGAAAAACATCCCCACAGCATGATGTTGCCACCACCATGCTTTACTGTGGGGATGGTGTTCTCGGGGTGATGAGAGGTGTTGGGTTTGCGCCAGACATAGCGTTTTCCTTGATGGACAAAAAGCTCAATTTTTCTCCCACATGCCTTTTGGCTATGGCTTTTTTCTGTCCACTCTTCTGTAAAGCCCAACTCTGTGGAGTGTACGGCTTAAAGTGGTCCTATGGACAGATACTCCAATCTCCGCTGTGGAGCTTTGCAGCTCCTTCAGGGTTATCTTTGGTCTCTTTGTTGTCTCTCTGATTAATGCCCTCCTTGCCTGGTCCGTGAGTTTTTGGTGGGCGGCCCTCTCTTGGCAGGTTTGTTGTGGTGCCATATTCTTTCCCTTTTTTAATAATGGATTTAAGGTGCTCCGTGGGATGTTCAAAGTTTCTGATGTTTTTTTATAACCCAACCCTGATCTGTACTTCTCCACAACTTTGTCCCTGACCTGTTTGGAGAGCTCCTTGGTCTTCATTGTGCCGCTTGCTTGGTGGTGCCCATTGCTTAGTGGTGTTGCAGACTCTGGGGCCTTTCAGAACAGGTGTATATATACTGAGATCATGTGACACTTAGATTGCACACAGGTGGACTTTATTTAACTAATTATGTGACTTCTGAAGTTAATTGGTTGCACCAGATCTTATTTAGGGGCTTCATAGCAAAGGGGGTGAATACATATGCACGCACCACTTTTCCATTATTATTTTTTTTCACCAATTTGGACTATTTTGTGTATGTCCATTACATGAAATCCATTTAAAAAAAAATCCATAAAAATCCATTTAAATTACAGGTTGTAATGTGACAAAATAGGAAAAACGCCAAGGGGGATGAATACTTTTGTAAGGAACTGTAGCCTGGGGGACCCAGGTCAGTTTGTGCTGTCTTGCCAAACCCTATGGAATTGTCATGCCATGTTTGGCAAGGCTTTCTGACATGGGTGTTTGGCATGGCTGCTTGGAATGACAATTCCATATAATATGGAAAGACAGCACAACCAGCCCTGGGATCTCCAGGCTAGGGATACATCCAGTATTGAATAAAACGATACTCCACTAATACTCAGACAGTAAGGTCCCTGGGAAACACACCGACGTTCTGTTTGTCATTGGTCAGCAGCAGCCTAACTACCAGCCTGCTACTGTAAGGTCCCTTGGAAACACACCAACATTATGATACTCCCTCTGGGCTTCCTCTCTCCTAATTAATGTTCTACTGCATTAGGGATCTACACAGTTAATGGATACGTCCCAATGGACACCCTGTTCCCTACATAGTGGGCCCTGGTCAAAGGTAGTGCACTATATAGTGATTAGTGTGCCATTTGGGACACGGCAATGTCTCACACAGTTAATGACTGTCTTTTTTGGTTGTCTGTAACTATTTCTTATCCCTGTGTGTGTCTGGCCTTTAGAAACATGCCTATCACATAGACTGGTTTATTGTGGCTTCTCTATGACATATCTCTCCTGCCTTTAGAAACATGCCAAAGGCCCTACACAGTTAAATACTGGTTTATTGTGGCTTCTCTATGACATATCTCTCCTGCCTTTAGAAACATGCCAAAGGCCCTACACAGTTAAATACTGGTTTATTGTGGCTTCTCTATGACATATCTCTCCTGCCTTTAGAAACATGCCAAAGGTGTGGATCTGTTCACCAAGGTGTGTGACCACCTCAACCTGCTGGAGAGAGACTACTACGGTCTGGCCATCTGGGAGTCGCCCTCCATGAAGGTCTGTTGCTCTGAGTTACTGTTCTGCTCTTTAACTAATGTCTATCTGTCTGTTACAACACTGTTACTAATATTACTTCTGTAAGTCACTGTTACTAATATTACTTCTGTAAGTCACTGTTACTAATATTACTTCTGTAAGTCACTGTTACTAATATTACTTCTGTAAGTCACTGTTACTAATATTACTTCTGTAAGTCACTGTTACTAATATTACTTCTGTAAGTCACTGTTACTAATATTACTTCTGTAAGTCACCGTTACTAATATTACTTCTGTAAGTCACTGTTACTAATATTACTTCTGTAAGTCACTGTTACTAATATTACTTCTGTAAGTCACTGTTACTAATATGACTTCTGTAAGTCACTGTTACTAATATTACTTCTGTAAGTCACTGTTACTAATATTACTTCTGTAAGTCACTGTTACTAATATTACTTCTGTAAGTCACTGTTACTAATATTACTTCTGTAAGTCACTGTTACTAATATGACTTCTGTAAGTCACTGTTACTAATATTACTTCTGTAAGTCACTGTTACTAATATTACTTCTGTATACTGTTATAATATTACTTCTGTAAGTCACTGTTACTAATATGACTTCTGTAAGTCACTGTTACTAATATGACTTCTGTAAGTCACTGTTACTAATATTACTTCTGTAAGTCACTGTTACTAATATGACTTCTGTAAGTCACTGTTACTAATATTACTTCTGTAAGTCACTGTTACTAATATTACTTCTGTAAGTCACTGTTATTAATATTACTTCTGTAAGTCACTGTTACTAATATTACTTCTGTAAGTCACTGTTACTAATATGACTTCTGTAAGTCACTGTTACTAATATGACTTCTGTAAGTCACCTGTTACTAATATTACTTCTGTAAGTCACTGTTACTAATATTACTTCTGTAAGTCACTGTTATTAATATTACTTCTGTAAGTCACTGTTACTAATATGACTTCTGTAAGTCACTGTTACTAATATGACTTCTGTAAGTCACTGTTACTAATATGACTTCTGTAAGTCACTGTTACTAATATGACTTCTGTAAGTCACTGTTACTAATATTACTTCTGTAAGTCACAGTTACTAATATTACTTCTGTAAGTCACTGTTACTAATATGACTTCTGTAAGTCACTGTTACTAATATGACTTCTGTAAGTCACTGTTACTAATATGACTTCTGTAAGTCACTGTTACTAATATTACTTCTGTAAGTCACTGTTACTAATATGACTTCTGTAAGTCACTGTTACTAATATGACTTCTGTAAGTCACTGTTACTAATATGACTTCTGTAAGTCACTGTTACTAATATTACTTCTGTAAGTCACTGTTACTAATATGACTTCTGTAAGTCACTGTTACTAATATGACTTCTGTAAGTCACTGTTACTAATATTACTTCTGTAAGTCACTGTTACTAATATTACTTCTGTAATTCACTGTTACTAATATGACTTCTGTAAGTCACTGTTACTAATATGACTTCTGTAAGTCACTGTTACTAATATTACTTCACTGTTACTAATATTACTTCTGTAAGTCACTGTTATGTTCACACCTATACCTGTCCATTCCCACATAGATACATGCACATATTACCCACATACCTCTTATATCTAGTGTTTGATGTTCAGTTTTAAAAAGGCACAACGTCTGAGTCCTTGTTTTGTCCGATGATTGTCCTGCTTCTGCTCCACAGACCTGGATGGATTTCACCAAGGAGATCCGCAGACAGGTTCAAGGTGAGGCTGAATGCATAGCTTCTGCTCTGCTCTCATTTTGTGTGTATAGGACCTATCTTGTAACCTCTCGCTAAATTAATGGAAATTATACTGTGGGTGCGTTCGTAAATTCCCTCCAGACTGGCAGTGTGCTCTGGGCTCTTTTGCAAATTCAGAGTGTTTCTCTCTCGCAGCGCTCAGAGCGCACACTGGAACGTTCTGATCAACGGAAGTCAAACACCACCAGTTAACTGGCTAAAGTTGGCTGGCTTGATAGCTTTTTCCTCGAATGTACCCTGAATGTGGACAGGCTACTAAAGCACACTGCCCTGTACACCTCACCGTGACATTCCTGTTTCATTTTCTGCTCCACCTACATAGGTGCAAAGTTAGACAAGATCTGTGCAGACGCACAATCATGTACAGGTGAGACGAAAATACCGTCGTCATTCATTGCTCAGGGTTGTATTCATTAGTGCACACCGTAGCTAAACGTTTTGCAACGACAATTAGGGTTCCCTATTGGACAAGTTCATGTTAGTCCCTAACAGTCCGTTTTCTTCTGTTTGGTACGTATTGAGTATGAGCCACGTTTTTTTTTTAAACATTGCTGTGCATGTTTTAGCGAGAGGAAAATATTTCCATGATTTGAATGTGTTTTCATGCCAGAATCTTTCTTTCAGGAACCAATTATGACTTCACCTTCAATGTGAAGTTCTATCCACCTGACCCAGCCCAGCTTTCTGAAGACATCACCAGGTAAACCTCTTACCTGCTCATCCGCTTGGTTTCTCTCTGCTAGTCTGCTCTCTGTCTCTTCCCAGCAAACCAAAAATTGGTTCTGTGAAAGTTCCCAGAACATTTGTTAGGTCGCAGCAAATGTTCTCATAACACAAAAACTGTCCAGTCGTGCTGATGATTATAGAATGTTTGAATAAGACATTCACCTGATGTTACAAGAACGTTCCTAGAACACATTTAACCTGTTCTTTAAAGGTTCCCAGAATGTTTCATTCGGTTTCTGGGAACATTGTGGGGATATGACAAGAGATAGGTTCCCAAAACACTAAAACTGTCCAGTTGTGCTGACATTCAGATAGTGTTTGTATCAGGGTGCACAAAACATTCACCTGATGTTACGTGAACGTTCTCAGAACACATTTCGTCTGTTCTTAAAAGGTTCCCAGAATGTTTCATTAGGTTTGTGCGAACATTGTGGGGATATGACAATAGGACTCTGGTTTGCCCATCAGAGATCCCAATGTCCTTGGTAGAGTTTCTGGTCGTAGTGGTGGTTAGAATGGATACTTCAGCGTACCCTGTAGTTCGTAGAGTTGATCTGTTAGGATAGATACTTCAGATGTACCAGCGGTTGTCTGAGAGGGATTGTCCTTCCCAACTCGTGTCTTTAGTGAAAGTTCTCTAGACGACTGTTCATGCCAGCTGCAGACTGAGATGATAAGGTCTAGTGCGTTGTCTTCTTCACCTCGTGTAGAGGTTGAGAGTTTCAGAGTTTCTCCATTTCAAACGTGTGGACTAACGTCTCACGGTTTCTGGTCTTTCTGGTCTAACCATTTTGTAACGTGTAGCTTCAGCTTCACACTTCCTGGTCTGGTAGAATCTTAACCTTTTGCAACATCCGGCTTATACCGTAGTATGCTTGATCTGAGGTGAATTTCGTCACGAGGGGTTTTATACTTGAGTAGAAAAGGGGGCGTCTTATCATATTTGTGGTCATCTGGGCGTGGCCACTGACTGAGAACAAATCAATATGGAAACAATAATCTCATCTAGAATGATAAAATCACATTGTTATCTTCACAAAATTATTATTATACTTAATCATTCGTTTTATACAACAATTAGATGCAAACCTCATAACTGGGAAGTGTACACCCCCAGAGATACAGTTATGTTGTTCCACCGTCTTTAATGACATCACAACATAGTAACGAATTTGACATGATTGTTCTTTAAGTCCCCACTGACCATTTCCGACATTCTTTGAAGTATGAATATTGTTTCATTATCCACTTTTGGATGTTGGAGTGTTGGCAGGAAGAATCTCTGTGTTAACAAAGGGGTCCTTTCTCCCAATACTTCATGGCAAGGAAAAGAAAGTCTGCATGGTTTTTACGGCCGGTCATAAAACTGGCCCCCAGGAGAAGGGGTGTTCAAACCTTTGCCTAGTCGGAATCTTTGATCCTCAGCCCATGAGGGCAAGTCATGACATTATGAGCGTCATAAAAACGGACTTATTTGGAAATTGTGGAATATTATGCAACATTGTGGGAATGTTCTGTGCAACCTTAGTGAATATCACAAAAATGTTCTTGCAACATTAGGGGAATGTCCTGTGCAACCTACCTTGAACATTGTATGAATATCCACACTTTTCCCACAACCTAATTAAATGTTCAGGGGACCTTCAAAGAACTCAGAGAGGCTGTTCTATCAACATTCTTCCAACATCAAAATAAAATGTTATCTGAATGGCAACACAACTGGACAGTTTTAGTGTTTTGGGAACCTATTTCTTGTCATATCCCCACAATGTTAGGGAACCTTTAAAGAACAGACGAAATGTGTTCTGGGAACGTTCTTGTAACATCAGGTGAATGTTTTTTGCACCCTAAAAGAAACATTGTAGAATCATCCGCACAACTTGACAAGTTTTGTGTTTTGGGAACATACACTATATATACACTGCTCAAAAAAATTAAGGGAACACTTAAACAACACAATGTAACTCCAAGTCAATCACACTTCTGTGAAATCAAACTGTCCACTTAGGAAGCAACACTGATTGACAATAAATTTCACATGCTGTTGTGCAAATGGAATAGACAACAGGTGGAAATTATAGGCAATTAGCAAGACACCCCCAATAAAGGACTGGTTTGCAGGTGGTGACCACAGACCACTTCTCAGTTCCTATGCTTCCTGGCTGATGTTTTGGTCACTTTTGAATGCTGGCGGTGCTTTCACTCTAGTGGTAGCATGAGACGGAGTCTACAACCCACACAAGTGGCTCAGGTAGTGCAGCTCATCCAGGATGGCTCATCAATGCGAGCTGTGGCAAGAAGGTTTGCTGTGTCTGTCAGCGTAGTGTCAAGAGCATGGAGGCGCTACCAGGAGACAGGCCAGTACATCAGGAGACGTGGAGGAGGCCATAGGAGGGCAACAACCCAGCAGCAGGACTTCTACCTCCGCCTTTGTGCAAGGAGGAGCACTGCCAGAGCCCTGCAAAATGGCCTCCAGCAGGCCACAAATGTGCATGTGTCTGCTCAAACGGTCAGAAACAGACTCCATGAGGGTGGTATGAGGGCCCGACGTCCACAGGTGGGGGTTGTGCTTACAGCCCAACACCGTGCAGGACGTTTGGCATTTGCCAGAGAACACCAAGATTGGCAAATTCGCCACTGGCGCCCTGTGCTCTTCACAGATGAAAGCAGGTTCACACTGAGCACGTGACAGACGTGACAGAGTCTGGAGACGCCGTGGAGAACGTTCTGCTGCCTGCAATATCCTCCAGCATGACCGGTTTGGTGGTTGGTCAGTCATGGTGTGGGGTGGCATTTCTTTGGGGGGCCGCACAGCCCTCCATGTGCTCGCCAGAGGTAGCCTGACTGCCATTAGGTACCGAGATGAGATCCTCAGACCCCTTGTGAGACCATATGCTGGTGCGGTTGGCCCTGGGTTCCTCCTAATGCAAGACAATGCTAGACCTCATGTGGCTGGAGTGTGTCAGCAGTTCCTGCAAGAGGAAGGCATTGATGCTATGGACTGGCCCGCCCGTTCCCCAGACCTGAATCCAATTGAGCACATCTGGGACATCATGTCTCGCTCCATCCACCAACGCCACGTTGCACAACAGACTGTCCAGGAGTTGGCGGATGCTTTAGTCCAGGTCTGGGAGGAGATCCCTAAGGAGACCATCCGCCACCTCATCAGGAACATGCCCAGGCGTTGTAGGGAGGTCATACAGGCACATGGAGGCCACACACACTACTGAGCATCATTTTGACTTGTTTTAAGGACATTACATCAAAGTTGGATCAGCCTGTAGTGTGGTTTTCCACTTAAATTTTGAGGGTGACTCCAAATCCAGACCTCCATGGGTTGATACATTTTATTTCCATTGATAATTTTTGTGTGATTGTGTTGTCAGCACATTCAACTATGTAAAGAAAAAAGTATTTAATAAGATTATTTAATTCATTCATATCTAGGATGTGTTGTTTAAGTGTTCCCTTAATTTTTTTGAGCAGTGTACAAAAGTATGTGGACACCCCTTCAAATGAGGATATTCTGCTATTTCATCCACACCCGTTGCTGACAGGTGTAGAAAATCGAGCACACAGCCATGCAATCTCCATAGACAAACATTGGCAGTAGAATGGCCTTACTGAAGAGCTCAGTGACTTTCAACGTGGCACCGTCATAGGATGCCACCTTTCCAACAAGTCAGTTCGTCAAATTCCTGCCCTGCTAGAGCTGCCCTGGTCAACTGTAAGTGCTGTTATTGTGAAGTGGAAACGTCTAGGAGCAACAACGGCTCAGCCGCGAAGTGGTAGTCCACACAAGCTCACAGAACGGGACCGCCGAGTGCTGAAGCGCGTAGGGCATACAAATAATCTGTCCTCGGTTGCAACACTCACTACCGAGTTCCAAACAGCCTCTGGACGAACGACAGCACAAGAACTGTTTGTCGGGAGCTTCATTAATTGGGTTTTCATGGCCGAGCAGCCGCACACAAGCCTAAGATCACCATGTGCAATGACAAGCGTCGGCTGGAGTGGTGTAAAGCTCGCCACCATTGGACTCTGGAGCAGTGGAAACAAGTTCTCTGGAGTGATGAATCACGCTTCTGCATCTGGCAGTCCGACGGATGAATCTGGGTTTGGCGGATGCCAGGAGAACGCTACCTGCCTGAATGCATAGTGCCAACTGTGGAGTTTGGTGGAGGAGGAATAATGGTCTAGGGCTGTTTTTCATGGTTCGGGCTAGGCCCCTTAGTTCCATTGAAGGGAAATCTTAACGCTACAGCATACAATTACATTCTAGACGATTCTAAGCTTCCAACTTTGTGGCAACAGTTTGGGGAAGGCCCTTTCCTGTTTCAGCATGACAATGCCCCCGTGCACAAAGCAGGGTCCATACAGAAATGGTTTGTTGAGATCTGTGTGGATGAACTTGACTGGCCTGCACAGAGCCCTGATCTCAACCCCATCGAACACCTTTGGGATGAATTGGAACGCCGACTGCGAGCCAGGCCTAATCGCCCAACATCAGTGCCCGACCTCACTAATGCTCTTGTGGCTGAATTGAAGCAAGTCCTCGCAGCAATGTTCCAACATCTAGTGGAAAGCCTTCCCAGAAGGGTGGAGGCTGTTATAGCAGCAAAGAGGGGACCAACTCCATATTAATGCCCTTGATTTTGGAATGAGATGTTCGACGAGCAGGTGTCCATATACTTTTGGTCATTTAGCGTATCTTTTGTGATGTCCCCAGAATGTTCCCACCAGACTGTTCCCATAACCTAACAAATCATTCTGGGAACCTTTTAAAGAACAGACAAAATGTGTTCTGGGAATGTTCTTGCAACATCAGGTTAATGTTTTATACAAACATTGCATAATCATCAGCACGACTGGACAGTTTTTGTGTTTTTTTCAGTTTTTGCCACAACCTAAGAAATGTTCTGGGAACTTTCACAGAATCAATTTTGGTTTGCTGGGAGAACATTACTGCTACATTGTTTTATTACATTACTTGGAAACCTTTTGGGGGGAATGTTCTGTGGTGGTTGTTCCAAGGATATTTCATTTAAAAGAACTTAATGGGAATGTTAGCTAATGTTCTGGGAAAGTTCCCGGTTTGCTGGGTTGTTTGTCATTGCCCCAATCTGTCTGTCAATTCAATTTCAATTTCAATTTAAGGGCTTTATTGGCATGGGAAACATATGTTTACATTGCCAAAGCAAGTGAAATAGATAATAAACAAAAGTGAATTAAACAATAAAAAAATTAACAATAAACATTACACTCACAAAAGTTCAAAAAGAATAAAGACATTTCAAGTGTCATATTATGTCTATATACAGTGTTGTATTGATGTGCAAATAGTTAAAGTACAAAATCTCTGTCTCCCTCTCTCTCTCACTCTCTCTCACTCTCTCTCCACCCCCCCCCCCCCCCCCCCCCCCACCCCTGTCCCTCTAATCCTTACTTGCCAGTTGAGTTCATTAATAAATTTCACCCAGAGTCATTTCATCCTGCATCCTGCATCCTGCCTCCCACCCACCTCCACCCCAATCCATGATTACATAAACGACCCAGCTTAAGCCTAATTAACGGCATCACACTGGGTGTACTGCCCGTGGCTTTGTCCCAAATGGCACCCTATTCCCTATATAGTGCACTACTTTTGACCAGAGCCCTATGGGAATAGGGAATAGGGTGCCATTTGGGATGCTTTATCTCTCTGCTGCTGCTTCCTGGAAGCCCTGTGGTCTGTGACCTCACGCTGACCCCTAGCTGTGTGTGTGTGTGTGTGTTTGTGTACGACAGGTATTCTTGGTAAGACAACGGTAGCAAATATATACTGAACAAAAATATAAATGCAACATGTAAAGTGTTGGTCCCATGTTCCATGAGCTGAAATAAATGAACCCAGAAATATTCCATACGCACAAAAATCGTATTTCTCTCAGATTTTGTGCACAAAATTGTTTACATCCCTGTTAGTGAGCATTTCTCCTTTGTCAAGATAATCCATCCACCTGACAGGTGTGGCATATCAAGAAGCTGATTAAACAGCATGATCATTACACAGGTGCACCTTGTGCTTGGAACAATAAAAGGCCACTCTAAAATGTGCAGTTTTGTGACACTACACAATGCCACAGTTGTCTCAAGTTTTGAGGGAGCGTGCAATTTGAATGCTGACTGCTGGAATGTCCACCAGAGCTGTTGCCAGAGAATTGAATGTTCATTTCTCTACCATAAGCAGCCTCGAATGTCGTTTTAGAGAATTTGGCAGTACGTCCAACCGGCCTCACAACCATAGACCACGTGTATGGCGTCGTGTGGGCGAGCGGTTTGCTGATGTCAACGTTGTGAACAGAGTGCCCCATGGTGGCGGTTGGGTTATGGTATGGGCAGGTATAAACTACGGACAATGAACACAATAGCATTTTATCTATGACAGTTTGAACGCACAAAGAAATACC